CTTTTGACAAAATGGTTAAACTCCTATAAATTGTTGCTCAATGTCGACAAGTCATCGTTTACCCACATTAAGAAAAATGTGAAGGACGATGACCTTGGGACATTGAAGGCACTCACTTAAAACAAGCTAAAAATATAAAGTTTCTTGGTCTTTTGGTGGACAACCGCTTGTCCTGGATAGATCATATAAGCTATATCTCTCAAAGAATTGCGGTCCCTATATATATGCCTATAGGCATGCTGAGAAGGCTGCACCTTGTCCAGTGCCGGTTTAACAGGGGTTTTTTGGGGACTATAGCACCGGGCGGTAAATATTTTTGGGGCGGTACCGCGTACCGCCCATAATTTAAAAAAAAAATACTTAATCGTTAGAATTTAGAAAAAAAATTATTGCGACACTGCGTCGGCGGATACAACGGATACAAATGAGAAAAACTTGATTTATTGGAAATGGAATAATAACTTTTTGGATAGACGTTTTGCAAAGGGTTAATGAAACCAATAAAGCAGACCAAAAACAAAATATGGATTTAAGCACAAATGCTCATCTTTTGTCATTTTTAGTCGAGAAGATTTTTTACGTGATCATTTTGATCATTACGAGGAAATTATCAGGAAACGAAAATTATGCTCAGAAGCGGATAATCATAAGAAAATTACAATTTGAAGAAACAAATTCAGAGGAAAGTTTAAGCAAAAAAGAATCAATGCGAACAATATGTTTTATTTTAATAATTGACAATCTATAATCCGAAATCATTTGTCGATATGAAAGCTAGAAATCTGGCACAATCAAATTTGAATTTTTGTTCTAAAAGCATAAATCTTCGTGGAAGATTTGGATGAGTTTTTTCCTCAAAAATGTGTCCAACTCAAGAAACTTTCGGAAATAAAAATAGAAACTCCTGGAATTAGTATAAGTTTTATACGAAAATAAATTAATATCTTCATTTCCGAATATTAATATTTGTCTGCGATTTTTTTTTATAATGGTTTCAAATGCAAGTGATGAACGATCTTTCTCTACTCTAAAAAGGGTAAAGAACTACCTAAGAAATACAATTCCCCAAGAAAGATTTAACTCCTTAGCAATTCTGTCCATTTATCAAGACCTGCTAGATGAAATAAATGTTATAAAACAATTTGCTACTATAAAGACTTGAAAACAACCTTTAATTATTAGTATATATATATATATATACTAATAATTAAAGGTTGTTTTCAAGTCTTTATAGTAGCAAATTGTTTTATAACATTTATTTCATCTAGCAGGTCTTGATAAATGGACAGAATTGCTAAGGAGTTAAATATATATAATATATTATATATTTATTAGGATTTCTCAATATTTATTTAAACCAAAGAATAATGTTTTATTTATTTATAACTTTTGATTAGTTTTTATTAGTTTAATGAAACAAAATATTAAACTTTTATTTTTTAATTAGTTTTTCTTAGTACTTAGTATTGTTTATATTAACCAAAGAATGTTTTATTTTTTAGTTAGTGCTTTTGATTAGTTTTTATAATTTGTTTATAAAGGATCATTTTATATTTTATAGGATACAGTTTACTGTTAGATACCAGCCTAACCAACCTAATCTTCCACTTGACGTGAAATAGTAAGACTTAAAAATTTAAATTTTTTAAAAAAAAAGTAATATTTTAAAGCATTGGGCATTGTGTTTGTGCCAGAACCGGGCGGTGAACTAACTTAAACCGGCACTGACCCTGTCCCCAGAAGACATCTTAGTTCGATTTATTTTTCATTAATCCATACACATCTTCAGTATCTAAATATCATTTGGTTTAATGCTCAAAAAGGCACTATCAGGCCCTTAAAAACTTTAGAAAATAAAGCTGTAAAAATCATTTACTCCCTAAATAAGCTTTATCCAACTAAAGAAATTTACAATGAGTATGAAATAAGATGCTTGAAGAGTATTTACGAACATCAATCTATCTTGTTTATTAATCAGGTTATAAATGGCTCTAGACACTCCTCAGGAGTGACTCCTGTACTATATTTTCCCACAGAAGTGATGTTCATAAATACCCAACAAGAAGTAGTTCACATCTAAATCTACCTAGGGTGAATTCACGGGTGGGTGTGGAATCCATTTTATATCGGGGTGTTGTGTTATATAACAATCTACCAACGGAGATAAGAGACTTGAAGGGTGATAAATTTAAACTTGAACTATCAAAGAACGTAAAATACTTTATTGAATAGCCTGGTATGTAACTTCGAATACAAATGTGATATGTAATTTACTGTGATATATAATGTTATGTATTGTGATATTGAGATATATAATGTAATGTTTATGTTCTGTATATACAACTAATTAAACTATTTAGAGGTGTCTCTCTGTAAACCTGTAAAGTTTTTGGAGACGAATAAACTGATTTTATTATTATTACATTTTAGCCGACAGGGGCGCACAGATAAGGGGAGCAAGTAGGGCACACAATTATTACTTACAAATGTTAAAAATCAACTGGCTAAAAGCCAGAGGTTGTAGTTTTTTATTTTAAAAATCCTAGATTATTGATCATGCATGCAAATTTTTTTTAGCGGGGTTGGGTTGGGTTGCAGTGCATCAAAGAATAACAAAATTATTCATATTTTCGATTTTGTTATTAAAATAAAAAAGGGTACTCTCTAAAAATGAATTATTCAAAAATGAATGAATATTTAATAGTTATTAGTGGCTGCTTTTTCACTTGTACCATGGTTAACCATGGAATACCATGGTATCACAAAATTTAACAGCCAATTCTTAAGTTAAATTGTCCCCTGAATCCGAAAATATCGTCAAATATTATAAAAGTGGAGCAGATTTTGAGATATAGTCAATTACATATTAAATGGAAAATTGAATATATCTCAAAAACTGTTCTACTTTTTTAACTTTTGACGACATTTTCGGATTCAGGGGACAATTTTACATAAGAATTGGCTGTTAAATTTTGGTATACCATGGTATCCCATGGTTAACCATGGTAAAAGTGAAAAAGCAGCCACTAATAACTATTAAATTAGTCATTTTTGACTAATTCATCTTTAGACAGTAGGTATTCCATGTTTTATAATTATAATTATTTAATTTAATTGATTCATTTTAATATTTAACCTACTTAAAAAAATGAGCCTTCTGCCTGGGCGCCTATTGGCTTCGCGGCGCCCTAGGCCATGGCCTAGGTTGGCCTGCACTGTCACTTATGATTGTGACGGTCATTAATGGTCATTTATGAAGTCTGCATTTTTTTCGCATGCCAGTTTTATGGCGGATTGCAATACATTCCAATTGCAACTTGCATGATACCCAGGGGCGACTAAAGGGGTGGCAAATTCATAACATACAACTTAAAATATTTAAAAACGTACAACTCAAAATTTTTTTAAATTAAAAAATAAACGACTGCAAGAAATTAGTGTCGACCGAAACACGTTTTTTAGCCGAATATTCGGCTCCTCTTCTAGTTTCGGCCGAAACTTTAAGCAAACTCGAAACTTATGTAGTCAAGTAATCTCATTATCAGCATAATTTCAGCAGGGACACACGATTGTCCCCCCAGCATATTACCCAACCAAGCCATATTCATGAACCCCAATTGAAGGTGGGTGCTACTAAATCCCGGGTTTTTAGACGTTCCACGACACACCCGCACAGACTTTCCGCTTCTTACAAATCGACTGCGACCGATAGGAGCACATTAGCACCCACAAAAACCTTATACGGAAAATGACTGAAGCACTGTTCCAACTTCCGGAATCCGACTTGGACAAAGATAGGGACGAACAGAAAGTACTACAAGACCAGCAAGGATAAGTCCAATCAGCGTACTAACCAACCAAGCCCACTCATGAACCCCATTTAAATGGGGTTATTACTAAATCCCTGGTTTAGGGGGGCTCCGAATTGTACTTAGTTTTGGGTCCCCCAAAAACCAACATGTCTTCCCTCCTTGTCCCGCACATATTGCCCGGCGACAAAATCCCAGGAAGGGCCTTAACCATCGACACTGTCATCCACGACCTCTTAGGGGAGAGTTACCATACGGGGTAAAAATTCGGATCCATCAAACACAGTTGCGGGATATGTAGGAGAACTGAAAGGGGGTAATATAACGCTGGGAATACAGTGTAAAACAATGCCGATTGGGCAAGCCATACGTTCCTTATACTCATACTCGTGTAGTAAAAATTAATGAAATTGGAACTGTAGTAAATTACATTAACCACAGTAATAAATCTATAATTTAGCACCTTTTCAACCCTGGACAAGACACAAGTTGTGTCACGCAACTAGACGTATAACGTGACGTTGTTTCCCTTTCCTTTGTCCGCATCTTAAAATTAGTTTATAAGGTCGAAAATCGCGTTTTGTTTATAGACAACGTGGTTTTTAAGGTCGAAAATCGCGTGGATGATGACAGTTTTTGCCACCAGTTATTCGTCTAGTTGTGCCTCATCTAAGAGCAGGACCAATATTTTGAAACGGAAATAGACTTGCTTGAAACGTCCGCAGTATTGATTATTGCACGTAGAATTTCAGACTGTAATGCGGGCTTAATTGACGAGCACATTCGCAATGAGTCATTTGCCAACTCTAATTTTGCCCCTTTACCCGAGGTATGTGTATCACAAGTTATTCCAGAATTGGTTAAGGATCAATTAAATCCAGAGATTCAATAATAAAAAGGAGGATACTTTTCAAGGGAGCATTCCTAAAGGAGGACAGTTTGTCACTTTACTACAGTGTTTATAGTTAAAATCATAGAAGTACAGTACAGTACAACATTGTTCCAAAAAGATACAAATTAACTTTGTTTTTGCAATATATTTGGTTTTTACTATACTGTTCTGTTTGACCTTATATTTTTGTAGCAATGCGTATTTTTTTGGGTTTTTCTAATTTTGCGGACCTAATAAAAATAGTGTATTCAGGGTGAAAAATTAAATAAAAAACAAAAACAAAGTCAATAATTTAATTGGTAACGCTATTTTATACTAATAAGGATATGAAATAAAATTACCAAAAATAAATTAATTCTATGAACAATAAAATTAGCATAACACAACATACAATTACATTAATATCTTACCTTAAATATTCAAAATTGAAATTATTGATTGTGAAACACAAATTTTAAGTTGTAAACATTGATACTTTAATACTAACCAATTAAAATAAAACCTTACATTAATAAGCTTCTCCCTCTTCATACTCGTCTTCATAATGCCTATTGTCGCCATTTGTATTATCTGGTTCATACTTTTGTTCATCTTCTTCTTCATACTTAACTGCTGATGCGTCATAATTTTGAGGTAAAAATGAAGGATAGTCTGGATAATCTATGGGAAAAAAATATACTTTTATATTAGTTTATAATTATATCAAATAATTTGTAAAATAAAATTGTATTTATATAGGCATAAAGATCTCAGTCGATAACCTTTTGGTTTTTCCAATAAATATATTTACTACGAGTACTATTATATTATAATAAATCATTATACAGGGTGAGTCAGAAGTAGGTGCATTAATTTGAGGAGGTGATTCTACAGATTATTTTGAGTCGTTTAAACCCCATATTGCCGTATCCAAAAGTTATTAGTTTTGGAGTTATTTGATTTTTTGTTATTTTGGTAAAAAATCGTGTCCAGGATTACATTTTTTTAAATTTCTCGATAAGAATTAAAGTTAATTAAACGATTCTTTTTTTAGTAGTTAGCCCATACATTGGTACATGCCACATAGTAATATTTTTCCAAAAAAGCCATATGAAAGACTTGTTAAGTTCATCAGGATTTTTTTTTAAATTTCACCATACACTTTGCGTGCAAATTGTTTAAAAAACTTTCTTAATGTATTACCTTTTGAATGATGTATAAAAACTATTATTTTTAGGTAGAAAATGTCACCTTTGTAAAACACACACCGGTTTTAGTTTACGCTAACAATTCACGATTAGTAGTAAGTAAAATACTAGAGTGTTAAGTTAACATTTATTTATTAAAATATTACTAAATAAAGGTCTATAGAAAATTCTCAAAGTGTCCGCCATCATTTCTAATGCAAGCTTGTGCCCTTTTTCTGATTTTACCGCGAGTAAGTCGATTATCTAAGTTGTTTCTTAATTCTATTGCCGCGTCTTGTATCCTTTCGATTAACTGGTCTCTGTTTAATATTTCAACTGTATAGACCTTTTCTTTCATGTGCCCCACACATAAAAATCTAAAGGTGTTAAATCAGGGCTGGCCATAATATTGGTCCCCCTCTACCAATCCAACGATTTGGAAACCTCTGATCTAGAAACCGCCGAACATTGATGCTATAATGGGCTGGGCATCCATCGTGTTGGAAAAACATTCCAATCCTATTTGCTAATAGAACATCATCCATTAATTCTGGCAATACGTTATTCAAAAATTCCCCATAAGCTTCACCATTCAAATTATCTGGCAAAAAGTGAGGACCGATCAATGTACTGCCAATTACACCCATCCACACATTTACACTAAGTTTTCTTTGAAAACTAGTTATTCTTTTCTTATGTGGATTATCCTGTGCCCAGAAGTGTAAATTGTGAAAGTTAGTAATACCTTCTCTACTAAATTTAAACTCCTCAGTCCACAAAATTCTAGACAAGAACTTGGGATTATCAATATCTGCATTTAATAAATATCTGCAAAAGCTGATTCTTCGTTGGGTATAATGAAATGCATGCTGGCCTGAACGTTTCATTACACGAGCAACCTTGCTTTGTGTTAAACCCAACTCAGAAGCTACTTTTCTTGTGCTGGTAGTTGGATCTTCTTCAAATCTTTCTAGAATGTCTTCATCAACATTTACATTTACTTCAGGAGCTCCAATGCGTGGTCTTGGTATAACAGTGCCGGTTTCAGCTATACGACGATATGTTGTACTGAATACTCTTTCATTAGAAACGCGTTTTTGTGGGAACCTTACTTGATATTCTCGTCGAGCTTCGGCTGCGTTTCCATTATTATTCAGCATTTGAGAAGTTTAGCATGTTGAATTAAACCTTTATTTCGCAATCATTTAAATACACAATTCCTGATACCTCAAGAATAGATAATACCTAATAATTATTATTTCAGGTAAAATTTTCTTTAATTTGCTTCCATATTAGTTAAATTTTACCTTTAATAATACAAATAATACATTGAGACCCATTATTACCTGGAACTGTTAATCCTAGGGTGAACTAAAACCTGTATGTGCCTTACAAAGGTGACATTTTCTATCCAAAAATAATAGTTTTTATGGACATATTATACATCATTCGAAAGGTAATACATTAAGAAAGTTTTTTAAACAATTTGCACGCACGTGAAATAAAAAAAATCCTGATGAACTTAACAAGTCTCCAAATTCGCGAATAAAATTTTATTTTATACTGTTGTTCTGAAGTTCCATATGGCTTTTTTGGAAAAACTATTACCATGTGGCATGTACCAATGTATGGGCTAACTACTAAAAAAAGAATCGTTTAATTAACTTTAATTCTTATCGAGAAATTTAAAAAAATGTAAACCTGGACACTAGACTGGGCCAAAAAAATCGACTATTTTTTTTTTGTGAATTATATCGAAAATATTGTTTGGGGTAACAAAAAAAAATTATGGTGAAAGTTTGAGTCCATAATATTAATATTAAGAGGTCTATCATCGCAATTTTAGATTTTTTTTCCTGAGCGAGTTTTTGTCTCAGAACTACCAAACCATTAAGTTTAACAAATTTGACTTAAGAATATTTTTTGAAGAAAATTGAATGCTCTACAAAAAAGGTTTGATTGGAATTTCCCGTCAGATGAACCGTTTTCTTACAATCATGCTTTAAAAATTTATATAGTTTTACAATTTGATCTTTTACTTTGTAATTCAGTAAAAATCAGTACCCGAAAAAAAACCGATAAATATTCTTATGGGAAATCATATTCTCTACAAAAAAAGTCTTTTATCATTTTTGGCTAAATTCACTCAATTAAAAGTTATTCAAGGTTAAATTTGAAGTCAAAACGAAATTTTACCCTTGAATAACTTTTGATTGAGTGAATTTAGCCAAAAATGTTAAGAGGCTTTTTTTGTAAAGCATTTGATTTCCCATAAGAATATTTATCGGTTTTTTATGGATACTGATTTTTACATGAATTAAAAAATTCCAATTTAAAAGATCAAAATGTAAAACTATACCAATTTTTAAGGCATGATTTTAAGGAAATGGTTCATCTGACAGAAAATTTTACTTTACCTTTTTTGTAGAGAATTTAATTTTCTTAAAAAAATATTTTCGAGTCAATTTTGTTAAACTCAATGGTTTGGGAGTTCTGAGACAAAAACTTGCTGAGGAAAAAAAAATAAAATTGCGATGATAGACCCCTTAATATTAATATTATGGACTAAAAATTTCACAATAATTTTTCACCCCAAACCATGGTTGCATATTTTCGATATACTTTTCAAAAAAAAATAGTAGATTTTTTTGGCCCAGTCTACTGGACACGATTTTTTACCAAAATCACAAAAAATCCAATAACTCCAAAACTAATAACTTTTGGATAAGGCAATATGGGGTTCAAATGACTCAAAATAATCTGTAGAATCACCTCCTTAAATTAATGCACCTACTTCTGACTCACCCTGTATTATAATAGATATTATATTATAATACATATTATATTATAATATAATTAAAATATAAATACAGGGTGATAGGGAATAAATCTGTAGGTAAAAGGCATAAGGGGATAAGTTAATAAAAGCAATTTTTCAGTAGAGCCCTAAAATTATTCGCATTAATTAAGGAAATATATTTATAAACAAATATTAGAAATATTCCTCAACACCAAAACAAAACACAAAGTGCAAAATGTTTTGGTGTTGGGGAATATTTCTAATATTTGTTTAACATATCACCAAAGTTGTCCTTTTTCAAGAAATTTATTTATGGTTAGCTGGTTCATATAGCCTTTTGCCAGCACATGTCATGCCAGAAAAAGCATATACCCGCTAGCCATAAATATATTTCCTGAATTAATGTGAACACATTTAGAGCTCTACTGAAAAATTGTTTTTTTTTACTTATACCCTGTTGTTGGCTACGCCAAGACAAGCATTTTTTATCCTAGGGACATGGCTTACAATTATTGTGTTATTTTTTAATATCTCTGAACGCACTTTGAATATTATTTTCAATTTTGGTGTGTATTGGAAGGATATAAAAGTAAGTATTTTAGTTACAAAAGTGGCGCACACAAGTTCTCTGATATTTTTTTACAAAAGTGGTACATCAGTGGTGTAACACCAATGACATGTTTTTATGTGGATATTTTATCTGATTGGCCTGGACAATTCTATATAAAAACAGCCTCTTAGGTTTTTCCCATCAGTGTTGGTGTGTGAGTTAGGGTGGATCAAAAATAAGACGACTCAAATATCAAATAATAAATCAAGATAATTTTTATACTGAAACTTGTTTACTTTGTTGCCTTTTCAATTCAATAATTAAAATAAACGACAATAAATTGTTAAACTATGTTTGTTTTTTTACATAAAATACATTATAATTTTTTAGTTTTGTATTTAAAATGCCATACTGTTAAGTTAAATATTATTTATTTCACGTATACCGATTACTCCAGATAAATTTAAGGCAAAATAATGTAATAAATAATTAAAATATTAACAAAAAAAGTTACATTTTGAGGTGATTAAGCAGAGCATTTTATTACGCAATTATTTTGAATCCTAGACGTCCCAGAGCAAAACGAGTAACATTTTTGAAATCAGCAGCCCAAAATTAGTTAAACTAGGCTGGAGTACTCAATGTCAGAAAAAAAAGTTTCTAAAACTATTATAGTGTAATTGTAAGAGACTTATACTACCATACAAGTTATTCTTAAAAATTGCAGGCCCTGAAGTCTCAAGTTTTGTAATATAGCAAGCTAACTATATTAAATTTGAACTATCAAGCAAAGTACAAAATAATACAATTCAGATTGTGGATGCAAGTAGTTACTCCAATTAGGTTTAGAGTCAAAAAATAATATTTGGATCATCCAATTATTATTTCCTTACTTAACCCATTTTCAGAAAGTTTTTACTTAAATGACACAATGTGTATGTGGCTTGCATACATATAATATTGTTGGTAACATATTATAATTAGGAATAAGTAAAAAAAAATACCATCAATGGGTTCCTCCTTGATTCTAATTTCTCCACCATCGTCAGTTTTAATATATTCCAAACGTTCGCCGCGTTCTCTTTCCCTTCTTTCTCTTCTTTCACGTTTCCTTTCACTACGGTCCTTATCTCTGGATCTGGATCGTCTCCGCTTTCGGTCCCTTTCGCGATCTCTTTCCCTTTAAACATATTAAGATTGCTTAGATACTTTCAACCATTTAAGCAATTTCAAAAACATAAAAACAACACCAGGGATATTGCAAAAATAATATATAAATTATAATTGCTAATACGCAATAGTGTAAAATCTAAATGATACTGACTTTTTCTAACCGAAAATGTAACATACCTGTCTCTTTCCTTTTCTCTAGGTCTACCTTCAAAGGATTCATCAAGTTCTTCAGTGCGAACTTTTTCTTTGCTTCTTCGTCTCTTCTCTCTGCGTGGTGATCTTGATCTGCTGCGTCGTCTTCTTTCGCGCGATCTTGAGCGCCTACGTTCAATATCCGGTCGTTCCCTGGCCCGGTCCCGTTCTCTATCGCTTCTATCTCCCCGTCCCCCAGCACCCAAACCTCTTTCCTCCCTCTCCCGTTCCACCCTATATCGCTCGCGTTCACGCTCGTTGTCTTCGCGACCTGAGTGTTTTATGTTTACGTCGGGTCCACCACGACGGGTACCACCTAGCCCTCCACCTAAAATCATTTTGTTAAATAAACCATAAAAAATATACCTATATATTTTATTTGGAGGCGCGCACAGGGTTTGTTTAAGCAAGTTAAGCTTATCCTAGAGCAAGGTAGTTAATTTTTGTATTTTTTTATTTTAAGGGATTTTTATATATTTTTGCATTCTAAAATGCTTATAACTACCTTAATTTGCAATGATTTAGCTTTTAACCCATTTAGGATATAATTATATTTTAAGATTCTTTGGAAATTAAAAAAATGGTATTTTAGTTTAGATGTCGAGCTTTTTGACGACGTTGGCTTTCTTGAATGCGTTTAATAGCATTAATTCGCAATGATTTAGCTTTGTCTGATATTCTCTGTTCATATTACAAATGAGGACCCTAGAAGCCAAGGGATACAAGCAGGCCAGTTTCTGAGGTGTATATAATAAATACTAAAAATAATTTATCTCCTTTTATTATGATATACATATATCCGCTTTATAGCGGCCGAAAAAAAGAGCGGCACTTATGCAACTCTTTTTTTGCGTCGGCCGCATTAAAACCTTAAATTAAATGCGTCGCACGCAAAGAAAGGCGGTAATCTGTATCCTTTGTATGTTAAAGTATTTTTTTATTTACAAGAAAGTTTATCGTTACAAAGTACTGATTGACTCTTTGATTTTGCGCCCCCAAAATGTTGCGCCTGCGTGCGTGCATGTAATAACTGCAAAACAGTTTGGGTACAAAGCCACATTATATTTTTTAAGAAAGTTTTGAGTATATATTTATTGCTTATGATTGTTTTCCATTCATGTAAATTAAACTACGTTATTAGTATAATTCAAATATAATGAGAGATTATGGTTGAGGGCTAATACAAAAATATAAGTATAAAAAAATAAAAATTTATTTTTGTACACAAGTTATTTTAAATTGTTACTTTTCTAATAATTTAAATTTAATACTTTGTTTAGTTTTTAAATACAATAAATGTAAAAAACTAGAAAAATTTTCTGAAAAAACTGGAACATTTTTCTGAAAATCCCTAATTTTGTTCTAGTATCATTATCTATTTTTTCTTCAATTAGTTACATGGAATGAATCAAAATTAGACATGCAGAACCTAGAATCAAAATTTCTGTTGACTAGTGAAATGTTTGTAATGTATGAATAATTTATTTAAGACGTCTGCTCCGGTCCAATTTTTTCGGCGGCAGCGGGATAGGAAGGCAAAGTGCCTTATTGCCTAATGTGGTCTTAATTAACATTAGTAGCGAACACCAGGCAATGTCAGCCCATGGGGTATTTAAATAAATGCACTGGGTCTTGAATTTGATTATATAATAATAATAATAGTCTTTATTTTGGTAAAACATTACAATAATATAATTATTTAAATATTTTACAAATACATATGTAAGTGGCACACATGACGAAGTTTAGCCCAAGGCTACTCTTACACTCAACCATGTATGCTAATAATAAATAAGTTGTTAATAAATTAAACACGCATTTAAATGTTTTTAAATTTGTAGACAAATTGAGAAAAAAATAATATATATAAAAATAATAATAAACGAGCCATTTTTATTAAATAATAAGCTGTGATAATAATATACACTTAATTGTACATACAAATAATATTACAAGAAGCAAGACCAAATAAAGAAAGAACCTCTTACATATTTGAGTATGAGTATGAGTATAACCAGCCCCATTGCCTCATCACTCCCGGATCCCGTACAGGCCTATGTTTACTTACGCCGATTTTTGTTCGCCCCCAGCAACTGCACGGCTTCACCCGTGTTTGCTGGGTGCGAATGTCCATTGCGTTCCGTACTGTCCCCTATTTGGGGCTCGAGAGCGACATGCGAATAGTTTAAATAGCCATTCTCGGGTTCGCCAAACCGATGCTATACGCCCAGTAGGGTATAGAGGAGGAGGGACGGGAGGAATAGACGTTTGTTGGTTTTTGGGGGACAATTACGCCGACTTAAAACTAAGTACGACGCGGAATCCACCTAGACCAGTCGATTAGTATTACTCCAAACATTTGGGATTACTATTTGGAGTTGGGGAGTTGTTATTTCGCTGCTGGGGTGTAGTTTCCTAGTCGAGGTCTTCGTCTTGTTCGTTATTGTCATTGCCCGTGTCCTCAGTCTTGATGCCAAAAACCATCAATAGATAGTTCAGTAGCTGGATATGTAACTTGTAGCTTTTGGTGTTTTTTTTTTAATTGTTTATTGCCGCAGAAGTGCGAATTTTCTAACAACTTTTTTTTATTTATTGTGTTGCCCAAGCACGTTTTGTGGTAGAGTTTTGTCTTTTTTGTAAGAATCTCTTACATATTTTTCAAATTTATTTAGCGACATAGGTTTATAGGTATTATCAATCGAGTTATAGTAAGACTTTTTTCATAAGTAGAAAGGTGCGGATGTAAAAAGAATCCTATGCAGAAAAGTTAAATGGTGAAGCTTTCCCTTGCGGCCTTGAGTTTACGGTGAATTCACCGTTTGCGTGAATTCACCGTGAATACAGGGTTTATGTGCAGTGAATATACCGTCCATTTGTGACATTTGTAGACGGTAATTAAACGGTGAACTCACGCTGTTTGTGCGATAAATTCACGGTGATTTCACGGTTAATTCAAGGTGATTTCACGGTAAATTCACGGTGAACTCAATACATCTCACGGCTGCTTACGCAAGCGAGCTAACTATAAATAGCGTTGGGTTGCAATATTTAGTTGGAAGTGTGCGTCTGTAATGGCATAGCTGAACATTAATCCTCATCTGCTCAGTAACGAATAATGGCTAGCTATAGTCGTGTTAAACCTATAGGATATACCTACCCTTGCGGCCTTTTAGTTCACGGTTTATTCACCGTGAATTCACTGTGAATTCACCGTAAATTCACCGTGAATTCACTGTGAATATACCGCCAAAATACGGTGGATTCACAATTAAAATACTGTGAAAAGTGCGTGAATTCACCGTCTAACTACCGTTTACAAATGTCACAAACAGACGGTTTATTCACGGTGAGTTTACGGTGAATTCACGGTGAATTCACAGTGAATTCACGGTGAATAAACCGTGAACTCAAGGCCGCAAGGGTTATACCCACTCAAATTTAACCATCCATTTTTTTTATTGATACATGGTCATATTTACTAAGATTAAAAACAAATCTGACATAAGGGTTTTGTATGTGTTGAACACAAGTTTTTGTTGCAGGTCAACCCACGGGTAGTACAAATTATTACAATAAAAAATTGGCAGAACAAGACTTTCTGTTAATTTTCATCTCATTTTAAAGCTTAAAATATATTTGTTGCTATAAAGCAATTTTAGTCGTACATATGTTTTTTGCTAAAGGGACTTTGTAATAGTCCCGTCCGTTACGCTTTAAATTATTAATTTTTAAGGAATTAAACAGTCAATCACGATACCTAATTTTGCCAAATAAAAACCTTGTTAAACAGCTTTTGTTTAGAACTATTTATAAAAATTTGACATTGGTAATATAATAGAACAATATTATTTTGTAAATAAAAACACGGCAACTGTCCTATCCGTTAAGCGTGGAATGGCCCCAAAGGTTCTTTACGAGACAGCCAGATTTTTAGCCTCCTCTGAGAATTTTCATTTTTAATAAAAAGTTTGATATTTGATTTCAATTTATCGCGTAGATTTTAGAGAAAAAATCATGGCCACCAATTTTTTTGAATTAATATTTAAAATATGATTTTTGGAAAAAATGTCACAAGGATCAAAACAGTATAAGATCTGTGTATCATCCGTATAACCTTGCACATGCACATGTTTAGTTTGATAAATCTGCAGAGTATAGTATAAAAAGTACGGGTCCAAGTATGAAGCCCTGCGGTACTCCAGATGGTACAAGGCAGGAAGACGTAGTATTTTCAAGCGTACTTTTTGAGACCTTGTTAAATATGAACAAAAGAACTGACGATAATTTTTTTTTCACCTAAAGTAACTAGGTATTTCAGGTGTGGCAGGTTAGATTTTTTTTAAAACCTAATATATAAATATATACACATGGTGTCCCGAAAATAGTGTGAAATTATTAAATTTGAACCCATCAACGTTTGGACCGGAATCATCGGCCAACATTTAATTGGACCATTTTATTGCCAAGAAGGTTAACTGGATACCTTTATTTATAATTTCTTCAAAACAATTTGCCAGAACTTTTATATGCATGATGGGGCCCCGCTACATTTTAGTCTAGTAGTTCGACAACACATAAACAGAAACTTCGAAAATCGATGGATAGGAAGAGGAGGACCAGTGACTTGGCCTTCTCGATCACCTAAATCCATTAATATTTTTTGTGGGGCTAATTAAAAACTTTAATCTATGCCAATCCAATAGACAATCGAAAAAAAAATATTGCAAATGATTTATTTTTATTGTTGCGAAATAAGGATTAATGTTCAGACATTGTGTAGTATCCAACAATCTTCAATTCTTAGAGCTAGGGAATGCATAAGAGTAGAAGGAGCTCATGTTGAACCGACATACAAAATTATTCAATAAAAACCCTATTCTACAAAAAAAAATTCGGAAGATGTTTTTTCTTGTTTCAAGACTGCGTTATGATGTTCCTTAGCTGAATAGGTCCCGTGATGTGATTAATGTGATTAAAAGTAATCCTAGTAATTAACATATTAAAAAAATATTAAATTCCACCTAGTACTACAAAAGTTATTTAAAAACAAACTATTTTCAGGGGCGTCCGTTATAGGCCCGTATCTCCAAAGAGGGGGCCATAGGAAAAAAAAATAGGAACGTGTCATATAATTTTTATGAGTTCTATTTGAATCCGGGAGATTGCCCACAAATTCTGGGACACCCTGTATATATATATATATATATATATTAGGGTGGTCCTTAATAAGGTTATTTTCAAATTTCTTTGCTCCCAGGGGCTCAAATGCTTCCAAATTAATAAAAAAAAAATCCCTAAAAATTTGAGCTCTTAATATTAACTCTAAGA